TGAAATAAGAATACTAAGAGAACTTGATCATTAAAAGATATTTCTACGATTGATACGTACGTATTAATAATCGATAAAACAACAACAAAGATTATGATTAATCATACGATTGATAAAACAATATAATATATCCAACATTACTAACAAGTCAAGTAAATGTTATTTATTCGTTTGAAATAATACCATTAAAATAGATTATACAAACGATTCGTTGTATTTGATAAAAAAAAAAAAGGCAGATCGATCGAAAGAAGATGATAACGATCAAGATCACTAATAGAAAATTCAACAACAACTTGCATATGGTCCATGTAGAGGATACTACCCCCGGTACAGTAGGTTACCTATAGTTGGTCGATAAAATTTAATCTAATACTTAGGATCTACCCCCTTTATAAATTAGATCGATCTCTAACGACGAGCGGCGGAGTCGTATACAAATAGCGGTTTGACGTTACATGGAAATCCACGTGGAATTCAAGAGCGGCGCCAACGCGATGTTTGTACAATATGCACTCGTACCAACATATACCTATATATATATATATATATATATACACACATATACATATAGATGATACATTGTGAAACGATATCGAGTTATCTAAGCATCGATCATTTTCTCCCCCTTTTCTATTCACCCCTCACTCCCCAACCCACCCCACCCCACCACCCACCCCCTTCCCTCACGTTGGACAGAAGCAAATCTACATTACTCTCGTATCGAATGAAAAAGTAGTTCTAAATTTCTTTCCATTTTGTACGTAATAGAGATACCACCCCTTGAAATCTAGGATTATTATTATTATTAGGTCGCGCGATACTTCGACTAAAGCTGGTACGAACTTTCGTTCGAAAAGTTTAGTCTCTCCGGGGTAAAACGAAGCGAGTTTAAATCGTGGGCACGCGCGTTCGTGCAAACGCACGACAGGAAAATAGAAAGAGAGAGATAGAGATAGAGAGAGATTTTTAGAAAATTTTTATATTTAAGTAAATAAGAACTCTTTTATATATATATGGTATGCATTCTCATAGCGAATGCAGTAATACCTTGTATAATAAAAAAAAAAAAGAAACAAAGGAAAATGTAATTGACGTGAAGGGAAGAAGGAAAAGGGACAGTATCAATTATACTTAGTTACGCATGGGTGGGCGGAAATCGTTGGAAATTGTTTACCCGCGCGCGTTAATGAGATAAAAATATAATAACAATAAAAAAAAAAAAGATTCTATAATATTTAGAATTATTTTTTTTTTTTTTTTTTTTTTTTTTCTAAAAAAGTAATAATTGTTTTATAGTACACATACATTCCCGTAAAATTTATCTCGTGATAAATGGAAACAAAATTTGTCCATAGAAAAAGTTAGAAAGTGTTTGAAGAAGAAAGAAAGAAGAGGAGGTGGATCGAATCGATTATGGTTCACCATGGGAAACCGGTTGGAAATCGGGCGTGACCGAATGACGCGACAATAAACGAAAAAATCTTAAATAAAAAGAATGACAAAAAAAAAAAAAGAAAAGAAAGACTTTTGGTCGTAGAAATTGGCCCGCTTTTAACACCGGTACATCGAATGGTGTACGAATAATGTGCTGTTTTGTTTATTTTTTTTTTCTCTTTCCGTTCACCACCGTCAAAATTATAGACTGGGTACTTTGTATGGGGTAGTTGGTAAGGGATGACGCGTGCCAATAAGGGGCGTTATATTTTCGCGAGATTGACAGTATAGTCGAAATAAATTCGTTGAAAATCTTTTTTGGCGCGTTTTGTACGATCAACAAACGACACAAAAGCCATACGATGATATAAAAAGATTTATCCAAGGACAACTCTCTCTCTCTCTCTCTCTCTCACACTCTCTGTCTGTCTCTCTCTCTCTCTCACACTCTCTATCTGTCTCTCTCTCTCTCTCTATCTATTAGAAACGTCATAATCTCATTTAATTAGAGATCGTTCTCTCTCTCTCACTCTCGCAACGCGTATAGATGATATTTATTATTCAAGACCTTATATTAAATTTTCTCTTTATATTATTATTCGAATATTAACGAATACCGATGGCGAATCCTTGATAAAACAAATAGAATAAAATTGAACATGAGATTAATCGAAGAAGAAATGAAACGTTTTCGATGAGTGATCGAAGTATATACATTTATACATGTGTATATATATATATATATATATATATATATATATATATGTATGGTAATGGTTCAATCTAACGGACCCCATTACTTTAGTAGAAAAATAAATAAGCAAGGCCACTGGGTTGTAGGTGGAAAATAGTGGTACACGGATTATCTTCCAGGCGCAGGTGGGTCAGAGACTTGGGGGTGTACGTTACAATCAAATCCCGAAAAAGGGGAAAAGAATTAAAAAAGCTATCTGCAGCGCGGGATGATAAAAAAAAAAAAAAAGAAAAAAAGAAAAAAAAAAAGGAAGAGAAAAAAAAGAAGGGAAAAAATATTAAAAAAAAAAAAAAAAAAAAAAAAAAACAAAAAAAAAGAAAAAAGGAAGAAGAAGAAGATAGAAAAACGTAGTTCGGGTAGAGTGACGAGAAGAATAAGGAGGGTAAGAGGAGGAATAGGGTGGAACAGGATGGGTGGGTGGGTCGAAAGAGAAAGAAGGGAGTTTCAAGTGGGAAAGACAAGGAGGAGAAGAACAGCAACGACGAGGACGAGAACGAGGACGAGGACGACGATGATGAAAGCGTGAACGAGGATGGGGATGACGGTAGTAGTGGTAGTAGTAGTAGTAGTAATAATAATAGTGGTAGTGGTGTTGATGGTAGGAATAGTAGTAGTATTAGTAATGGTCGGGACGATGACGATGGTGTTGGTAGAAAGGGTACGAGCGTGTCCCTTTATTCTTTCCTCCTAGGCACGTCCCAGTACATCCTATCCTCGATGTGTTGGTGAGGACGATGGTGGTGCGCGAATGTGTGTGTGTGTGCGGCCTGTAAAGTGCGTTGGAAAATGTTCTCGTATAGTACGGCATAGATGGTGGTAGTGGTGGTGGTAGTTGGTGTTGTATAGTATAGGGTGGGAAGAAAATCGCTCGCAGGCTATTTTCCAGTGGAATTTTTATTGGTAGCTCCGCCATTTTGGGTAATAGAGTGGGGGTAAGGCGAGAAGGCAAAGAGGAATAGCGATTGGCCGTTGCCTGAGCAACGCATCCCCCTCGCGTCCAATCGTGCTCTGGAGAATCTCGTGGCTGGCAACTCGCGAAACGGGGGCGGAGGGGGTGGAATAACCGGCCGGTGGAAGAGAGAGAGAGAGAAAGAGAGAGAAAGAGAAAGAGAGAGTGTGCGTCGTCGCTTCGTCAGAGTATAAGGGTGTTCACGCGAGGGTGTTCTCTGTCGGTGGCACTACTATATACTATTACTACTACTATTACACTACACGTTTCTATTACTATCACGCGGAACAAGGATCCTGGTGCTAGGCTCTACACCGATATTACGCGTTCTCCTCCTCGTCTCTTCCTCTCCTCCTCGTTTTGCTCCCCGCGCGAACTCACCGGGATAACTGCATTTCGCGGACAGAATCCCACAAGAACTCACGGCGAGCGGTCGCCCCACTGCGCCTGTCACGGCCGAAACTCTTCTTCTTCGTTGTCGTCGTTGTCGTCGTCGTCGTCGTCGTCGTCGTCGTTATCGCCGTAGTATCGTATCCCATCGGTTTTCAACTTTTCCCTTTCCGCGTAAACGTTCCCGTCCGACGCACGAGAACCTAACCCCCGATAAAAATAAGAACGAGTATACCGAAATCAAAGGAAAATTAGAAAAATCTCGCGTCCGTAACGCGTACGTCTACTCAACCAATCATTTACGTGTCCAATTTCATCAAATCATTATTCGATCCTTATTCTTTAATCCAGTCGACGAGAGAATTTTTCTTCTTCCTAGATAATAATAATTTCGATTAGATTCATTCGCTCTCAACCACCCATCCCCCTCCCTCTTCCCACCCTGTACCCCTTCTGATAAAAATTATCAAACGTTTCGGTCAAAGATTATTTCCATTTTCAAGGCCGCCAACCAACCAGCAGCACGAATCCCTTCTCCTCCTCGACCTCCACCGCTCTTCTCTTCTCTTCTCTTCTCTTCTCTTCTCCTCCGTCGTCCCAATCTCTTCCGCTCGTTCGCTCCCTCCTAATTGGATCCAGGAGATAATAAGATTTGAATTTGGAATCGGGGTCATATCGCGATAAACCGACCGCGTTTCCCGTAGACGTTCGAGATCCTACATCCTCCTTTCTCGCGCTCTTTTCATTTTTCTTCTTATTTTCTTCTTCTTCTTCTTCTTTCTTCTTCTGTCTTTTTTCTTTTTTCTCCTTCTCATCCTTTTTTATAATATCAACTTGGCAAAACAAACAATAAATGAAAACAAAATTCGTTTATAAACTCGTCGTCGGTACTCGTGTACACCGTTAATCGTCGTCGTCGTTGTATATCGAAGTTAATCAAACGTTAAACGAGAAGATAATTATTATTCGCGAGACACACACACCAGTAAACAATAAACGGAATTCTCGAATAACATAAATACAACGTTGTAAATCAAGGATCGGGAAAAAAAAATCAAATCAAGGAGTTACAGTGATAATCATTAACAGTGACAAAATAACGAGGCAAGAATAATAAGGAAAGGGGGTCAGTCAACACATCTAAAAGGTGATATTATTGTGTTATAAGGAATAGAAGAAAAATCATCTTGTCATCTGGAATGCCAAATGTCGAAATAATTCTAAAAAAGGAATACGTTAAATAATCATAAATAAGGGGGATCTCTTTCTTATTTATCGAAGAAGAAAAAAGGAATAAGAAGAAGAGGAAGAAGAATTGAGGGGGTGGTTCCCCAGAGTTGGTTCGCGCGCAAACAAACAAACAAACAAAACAAAACACAACAAAAAGAACAGAAATAGGGGACAACAGAGAGGCATGCAGTGTTGTTAGATAAGAAAAGGGGTGGTTAGGTGGTGATAATAATTGCAAGAGCTCAGGAAAGAGCTCGGTAAGGTCGCCCCCGGCATCAACCTGGCTAACGACCTGTCCGGAGGTAGCGGTGGTCCCGGTGCGGCCGGCGTCGGCACCGTCGGTGGGACCGTCGGTGGGACATCCGTCGGCGGCGGAGGCGCCGGCGGGACTGCTGGTGGCGGTGGCGCCTCATCTTTACCAACTACTGCACTTAGCCTCGATCATCAACAATTCAATATATTCCCGGCTATATTTAGCCGACAATTAAATTTTTCTGCCAATTGCGGCCAGAACAAACTGATGGACGAGCTAAGGCCAAATCTCGGCTTACTCGGTGTTGGCCTTGTTGAAAACGACAGCTTCCATTTGAATCATAATCAAGAAAAAAGGAAATGTAGCAGCGCGAGCTCGAACGAACAGGACTTTGGGCTCTATGGGGTACACCAGGGACTCGAAGCTAGCCCACCGACGCCTGCGGCTACACCAGGAAGAAGCAGCGTTGGGGCCACCACTACCGTCGGTTCGTATTAATATTTTCTTTTTCTTTTATATATATATTTCATTTTGCATATGAGAAAATGTGTTTGCATTATTGGTCATTGAATAAAACGATAGGTACCTTCTCTTTGTTTGTTTATTTGTTTGTTAATTTCATTTAACCTGTTAACCGAGTATGACGAAATATTTCATAAAAAAATTCCCCGGTTAACAGGTTAACAAAATTTGATTTTGGTTAATTAGAAAAAGTTACGAATGATCGTTTTCGTTTCGCGATAAAAGTGTACATCGTTGGGTATAGTCATCGAGATAGACAAATTTTCCGCTTGTTGAACTTCGAAAAGAAAAAGCAGACGTGCGTGCGTGCCGTGCCGTGCAGTGCGGTGGTTAGACGCGTACCGAACGAACGAACGAAAAGTATCGACAATAAAGGACACCCGGGTAGACATATGGTACTACCTGTTCTATGGGCTATTATTATGCGCTCATGGGGCTTAAGAGAGCTTAACACTAGGGGTTCGCTAATGGGGTAGGCTCGAAACATCGGACGTGAAGCGAACGCGTGTCGAGTCTTGTCATCCATGTCTCTCGTCGAAAGGGCTTCACGAGTACTCTATGTATCTCCATCCCCCTTTTTTCCTCCCTTTCTATGCCCTTTTTCTCTCTTTTCAATCCACGAACTCGATCCCTCGACTTTTCACACTCTTACACGATCCTTTATAAATAATATTTATATTTACCAACGTCGTTGTGTGTTCTTTATTTTTATATTTATTTTTTAATTTTATACATTCCCCCACTCTCAACCCTTCCCACCGACGACAGAGAAAGAAATTGAAGAAAATGTAATTTTTTCGAGTCAATCGTATTTTTCTAAAATATAATATCGCTTAAATAAATTGATTCCATTAATTGTAAAGTTTGTTCATATTTAAAATCATCGGGATATTATTGTTAGATATCTAGTAACTTTTCTATATATGAAAGATTTAGGATGTAGGATTTTTAGTAAAGTAATCTTAATCCCTTGACCAGATGCCGACGAGCAGCTGAAAGACGTATACCCATAGAAAACCAAATTTCAACTATTCGCCGAACTGTCAACGCCATAGCGTACACGTGTCCACTCTCGTTAAAATCACCGCTAATTATTACTCCGATCGTACGAACTTTGGTAATAGGAGTGATCATTGAAAGCAGATGTTCATTCAAACGGTCAGAGGTTGTTATCTTCTTCTTTTTCTTCTTTTTTTCTTTTTTTTAACAACGACTTCCTTTCTATTTCTAATATTATCGAGTACACAAATTTGTAATATTATTAAATTTAATTTCATTCGCGGAAAAAAACACGTAATTCAAAATGCACACACATTTTCCTTTACGAATATATATATATATATATATATATTTGTTCCTAATAATTATTACGAATAACAAAAATTATAATCAAACATCGAAATAAAATGTTTATTCCATTTGTATAATACAATATAATAAATATTTCGTTAATGTCGAATAATCGAGAAGAAACAAACAAACAAACCAAAAATTACAAACGTACGGTGGGGGCTGCGTTTTCTTCGTCATTCAATTGTTCGTTGAGGGAAAAAGGGAAACCAAAAAAAAAAAAAAAGGAAAGTATCGTTAGTTAATAATTGAGTTGGGAGAATATCGTTAGGAAAAATGAATAATAGTTAAGAGGTAGAATAGAAGAGAGCTAATAGAAAAATTCGTTTGGTTTGACGAGGCCTTTTGTCTTCTTTGATGAACTTGACCGAGTTTCCCATGTTCACCAGGTAACGAGGGAAGGTATGTAAAGTGGACAGCATTCATCTTTGAACATTGAATCAGCATGTAACATGATTAGGTCATTAACGCCCTAATCAAGTTAGCATAGTGCGAGGGACTTCGCTCGCCACGGTTACACCGGCTGCACGTCCGTCGTTCGTTCATAAAGCCAGAACACCCCCATGAAATAACTAAGACGGTCATGGACTCTGTTCTAAATCACAATCAAGATTTCTCAACTTGAAACTTTGCTAAATAATTCGATTGGATACTTTAAGATTAACCTAATACACCTGAGAGAGAGAGAGAGAGAGAGAGAGAGAGAGAGAGAGAGAGAGAGAGAGAGAGA